TTTGACTATATATATATATATATATGTACACCCTGATACAAGGCTACTGATAGAAGGCTACTGTAATTGTAGTTAAGAAGATTTTTTCACTCGTTGGTGCCATATCCAGGCTAAGGTAAATGGAGATAGTGAGACTGAAGCTTCAACTCCTTTTATTGGTTCCCAAGCCAAACGGGACACGGGCCAGCCAGCTACACTCACACCATCTGGCCTCTGCAGTTCAATTTTTCTGGTAGTGTGGTTAGAAACACTATCCAGGTGGTTATTCACTGGAGGTAATAATGAAATATAAATCATGTAAACTGCAGATGTTTTTTTTTTTCACATTTCTCTTGATTTATCCCTGATTAACACAAATGTTAGGACTATTGACTGTCAGAGTTGGGTACTATAGACTTTTTTTTTTATCTAGGTACACAAGATACACAAGTTTCTGGCTATATCAAGATATTTTAACTTTTGTGAAATATTTTAAATAAACACTGTTAAGTGTAACTAAAATGAGATTTGATATTCGAATTTTTAAAAGAAAACATGACATAGAAGATTTATACATATAAATATGATATATACACATTTATGAACATTTAATACATGAAGTATTGAGTATGAAACAGCTATAATTAATTTTAGACAAGAGTAAATGTTGTTGCTAGTAGCAGTCCTAAATTTGCTAGTGAGTAAAAAAAAAGATAACTAGCAGAGTAAATGTTGTTGTTAGTAGCAGTCCTAAATTTGCTAGTGAGTAAAAAAAGATAACTAGCAGAGTAAATTATGTTGTTAGTAGCAGTCCTAAATTTGCTGCTTAGTTAAAAAAGACATCTAGCAACCATTTGCTAGTGCCCTCAGAAGTTAAGGTTGAGGCCTGTTGAATAAAAACTGATCCTCAGAGAGAGAATACATACATACATATGTTACTGTTTTTCCCATGATATTCTACTACGTAGCATACAGATTGATAACATTAGTTTTATCAAAGATGGAGCAGATGAGAAATGTAGGACAACATGTAGACAATCATTAGCCACTATAAGCACATTGAAGGTGAAAATCATTTCTCTATCCTAGGTTAACCACAGTATTCGTTTTGTATTTAACAACACAGCCTTCCTGCTAGTTTATCAAACTTGCTTGTTTGTCAACAAAACCTACTGCCTTTTCTGCAATATCTGATGCAACTATGCAGAATGTGAGTCTGTTTATATATTAGTTAAATCCCTGCCACACTTTTGAAAGATATGTAGGGCCAGTGCATTTTGAGCTGTGGTTCCAAGCGACACGAGCAGATGAGAATGGGGATACATTCCCCTTGAATGAGGATATCAGTCCATTGCAGGTTAATCTGTAGCGAACAGCTGGATATCAGTCCATTGCAGGTTAATCCTTAGCTAACAGCTTGTAGACTGAAACAAGTGTCTTGCCCAAAGACAAAACAGCATGAGGTGAGTCAGTCTCCAATTCACAACTGTCCGACTACAAGTCAGAAGCACGAAGCCACTGAACCTAGTAAATGCTAAAAAACTTCAGAAGAATGATTTTATTTTGGAAAAGAAAAATAATGCTGCAAAGCAAGTTTTTTTAGGTGTAAGAGTATATAGTTGTTCATCATCTTATCATAGTGTGTTACAAAAAAAACTTATGATTTGGAACTACAAACTGAATGAGGGTCTATTTATTCATTCTTTCTAGTGGTGTACAATACAGAAGTTTTGAATTAATCTATATAAATATAATAGTACTGTCTGTTATATGGGTGTGGATTGGTATGGAGATTCATTAGGTCCATGTGGGGGGGTACATATAAATTTTCAGTTTTGCATTTTGTGGTTTTTTACCATTACTTCGCCCCCTATGGATGGATCTTCAAATTTGGTATGGAAATTAATTGAGTATGTGGGGAGATATATAAAAATTTTCAATTTTGCAATTTTTATGGGCATTTTTGCATTTTTTGACCACTACCTCATCTATAGATGGATCTTCACCAAATTTGGTATGGAGGTTCATTGGGTTCGTGGAGAGATGCATACAAATTTTCAGTTTTGCATTTTGTGGTTTTTATGGGCATTTTTGTGTTTTTTATCACTACTTTGCCTCCTGTTGATGGATCTTCACCAAATATGGCATGAAGGTTTTTGGGTCCATGCAGAGATACTTACAAACTACAGTTTCACGTTTTGTGTTTTACAGTTTGTATGGGGATTTTTACATTTTTCACAATTACATATAAGGGAAGCAACTTTTCATTTCCTAAGATAACCTTTCTTTAATCACGATTTACATAACTTACGTCCAGAAGATGGGTACTCCAGCTACTTTTTTATACAGAAGATGGGTACTCCAGCTACTTATTTATACAGAAGACGCGTACTCCAGCTACTTATTTATACAGAAGATGGGTACTCCAGCTACTTATTTATACAGAAGACGCGTACTCCAGCTACTTATTTATACAGAAGATGGGTACTCCAGCTACTTATTTATACAGAAGATGGGTACTCCAGCTACTTATTTATACAGAAGATGGGGTACTCCAGCTACTTATTTATGTAGAAGACGGGTACTCCAGCTACTTATTTATATATTTTCTTAAAACTTTTGTAGCAGATTATCTATTCTGTAGTAAAAACATTACTGTTAGTTCAATGAAGAAACATGAAATGCTAAAATAAGGAAAGAATAAAGTATTGGAACTTGTACGTGTTTCTTAATTGGAAGTATAATAGCATTAAAAGAAGTTAAAGCCATTTCATAAAAAAGTCTCATTTTTGGAACAAAATATTAGTACAGGGAAAAAGAAGTTAGTTTCAACACTTTCATATGTCCTCTTTAGTTTTACACAGTCTTCTTATGCCTCACTAAGGACTTAAAGTGTCAAAACTGTTTTCATAGTCCTTGTGCTAATAGTTTGTTTCAAAACTGTGGACTGTTTATTATTTTTTATGTTAATATAGCTATACTGTAATGCCATTACAATATGGCATAACCTCAACATCATAAACCTGTTTGTACCCTATTAAGAAACAACCAATTTTGGTGAGATTTCAACCAGAAGATTTAGAATATATCAAGTTTCGTCACACACTCCTACAAAGAACATTATTTCATTTCTTCTACCACTATTCAGTGCTGATGTGTGACAGGTTGGTGTTCCTTAAAAATATATGAATCTAAAGATTTCAATTTTTTTAAAGTTTGTAATAAAGGCTATAGGTAAAATGTCTGACAATTTTTACAGGGGTTAGTTGTAATATTCAGAAGTACATATGCACGATGTGATTGTGTTTTCATTATATTTGTTTCTGCCAGACTGGGTAAATAAAACCTCAGCTACTTGTGTAATGTTACAAATTTGACATTGACCATCTTAAAGCTAAACAAAATTATATACTTCTTCATATGAAGTGAACTTAGGTTTTTAGTTATTTAAACTTACTCATGACCGAGTTGTAATTTCAACATTTAATTTACGCACCTCCTGATAATTTTCATGTAAATTTATGCATTACTGAATTACAGATAAAATTGCTTTATTAAGTTTAGTTTACACAGAAATACCAGAAAGGCTGTAAAAGAAAACACTGTATTAGTAAAAGTAGCAGAGTTTACAATTTCTCCACGTACTTAGATAAACACAGCTACACTTTCATTAAGGTAGTTTGTATAGTGATCACCAATCCTAGGCTAATGTTGTGCTTCTTTATTAATTTATTCACAACTTGGTGTTTAGAAGTCTCAACCAGAATGTTTGATCAGTGTATGTGTATATTTTCAGATGGAAGTCAGAAAAGTAATAAGTTTGAGATATTTTGTACTACCTATACAAGTTATATGTAAATAAACATATTTTAATGCACACTGATAAACACTCTACTGGAATACTTCATATCTTTCAGCCATGTCATTTCAAGCACAAAAACATCTTTTATGGAGATGTAGGCTTTTCAATGGATAAATGCACTTTGGGGATGTGCATGCTTGGTAAGAATGACAGTCATATTCAACTACCGTATTTTTTGGTGTATAAGATGCACTTTTTTTTACCCAAAAATTTGATGTCAAAATCTGCTTGCGTCCTATACACTGAAGGTATGAATAATACATATGTATATATATATATATATA